ATAGATAGATAGATAGATAGATAGATAGATAGATAGATAGATAGATAGATAGATAGATAGATAGATAGATAGATAGATAGATAGATAGATAGATAGATAGATAGATAGATAGATAGATAGATAGATAGATAGATAGATAGATAGATAGATAGATAGATAGATAGATAGATAGATAGATAGATAGATAGATAGATAGATAGATAGATAGATAGATAGATAGATAGATAGATAGATAGATAGATAGATAGATAGATAGATAGATAGATAGATAGATAGATAGATAGATAGATAGATAGATAGATAGATAGATAGATAGATAGATAGATAGATAGATAGATAGATAGATAGATAGATAGATAGATAGATAGATAGATAGATAGATAGATAGATAGATAGATAGATAGATAGATAGATAGATAGATAGATAGATAGATAGATAGATAGATAGATAGATAGATAGATAGATAGATAGATAGATAGATAGATAGATACCGCAGTTTAAAAACGTTGAATTAATAGTTGCGAATTAGAGACATCAATGTCCCTTTAAATAAATTAATAATTTACATGCATAGTATCGATTTTCGTGCTTTCAACTTTTATCATATATTTGTTGATTAGTATGACCATTTTACTAAACTAGCTGAGTTGCTAAATATGGTGATGTTTGTTTATTTCAGTTTCCTAATAAATAAATAAATCAAAATCCTCAGCTCTACATAATATTTTGTGAATGTCTACAAATATTTTCATAGAATAATAAATAAACGTAATTCATTTCAACGAGTTTATTTTTAAGATGTATTTTTGTATCTCTTATATCTTCAGTCTTTAGTAATAAGTATAGTAGGTTGGTGGACCTGTGTTACAGTTTGTTTTCCAATGAAGGTCCATCTTCTCCTTGGAAATGTGTATTGATGGAACTGATACCACTTGTTTGGGTAAAGCGTTCCAGTCACTGACCACTCGATGAGAAAAACAGAATTCTACTCTGAATTTATTAGATTGTGGTTTATGAATCTTCTTGCTATGGTCTCGAAGAATATTATTGCTGGTCGGAGCAGAAAGATGAAACGTATTAACACCTAAATCGTAACTAAATATACGCAATGCCAATATGAGGTCACCTCGCGTTCTACGATACGATAAGGGGAAAAGGTTTAGGCGTTTTAAGAGCTCACTGTAAGGGAGTTTAGAAAGACACTTCACTAATTCTGTTCCTAAAACTGAACACACTCAAGCGAGTAAATATCCTCAACAAGACCTGGATCAGCTGCTTGGATAAAGTAATCTAAATGTGGTCTTACGTAGATGGTATAAAAAAACTTGGAAGCCCTCCTCGTCAAAGCATTTGTATACTCGGTGAAGTAACTATAACGCACGAAAACCTTTGGCACCAGCTGCAATGCAATGCGTTGTTGTTCTCAAGTCGTGATTCACTGTAGCCTCCAAGTCTATATGTTCCTGCACGCATGGAAAAGATGTACCGTCGATAGTATACTGGTAACTGTCACTGTGTCTAATACGCATGAGCACAATTTTTCTAGAATTAATTTCGAACTTCCTAACTTTGAACCGTCTAACTAACTCGTAAGGGTCAGCTTGGAGATCAAAATGACCATCCTCGCTGCCTATTGTTCTCCGGTTTTTGACATCCTCCACAAAAAATAATGTTGATGACTTAAACAATGACGGCAATTCATTGACGTAGAGAAGGAGAAGTAGGAGACCTAAGATGGTGTCTTTGGGTACGCCACTTCTGAAGTCACCTAGACCTAAATATTTATTGAATTTACGACCCAGAGTAAACATTATTTACCAACTTCATATTTTCATCGTTTAAATCACGGATTGGTCTTGATTGGATCATCATTAGAAACCTGGTACTTCTGGATGGTCAATTCGTCATCGGCAATGCACATTCCCGACCTTGGAAGTGGTAATCCAACTCATGACCTTCGGTCTCATGAGAGAATACTCATTTTCTAAATCACTTGGCCGGCAACCAACGGTATTATTGTCCAACAGTGGTCAATTAATAATCTTGTGCAACCCATCATTCATTGCCTGCGGTGGGCAAATTTGTCATACCGAATAATAGTTGGTCACGGCTTCTCAATAGAACTCCAGAATTTATGTCTTGAAGCTAGTCACTAGCGAGTACATGATTGTTATTAGTCTAGAGGAATTTCGAAGACTATGCTACTTTTTATGAGTCCGATTTCCGTGGCGGGGGTCGTAGATTCTCATTAATTTGGAGTCTGATACTAGGACGAAATCACCGACCAGTGCTTCCAGATTTTGAATGGTAGTCTAGCTTAGATCAGTTCGTGATTTCGAAGGTGGAAATACTATAATCACCTTGAATCCCTATATTAATAACTCGATGTTTGTCAAAGTTTTGTTTAAATACCGAATAGTTTAAAACAAGTGGACCTTAACTGAAATCTCCCATAGATTGATATTGTGATGATTAACATAGACTTACATTGCAAATTATTTTTAACATTATTCATGTTTTTTGCAGTTTATTCAATTACTGATTTCGATCAAATTGTTTAGTTTTGACCTGGAACTTTACCGACACCGATTGCATGGCCCATAGATTACCATTCACAAAATACATAAGTGCTCATACTACTCTTCGTTCTCATTCGACCAAATTATCAGATCAATTAGATAATTTCATACTGACTTCTATACTAAATAATAATATAACTAGCATATACATTTAAAGATAAAGTCTTTCCCTAAATACTAGATTTTATGTAGTAGAAAACTTTGGATTATTTGTTACGTTTTGTAATTACTAATTACACGTTATAATTGTGGACCTGGTGATCGATCAGTCGAGCTAACAAGAGACGGCTGAATTTCACCTGCGTATTTATATCCTTAACTGATTCTAAACGTTATTACTTAAAGCCCTCAAATGCCCTGGTACGGCCGAGAGTGGGGAGAGTCCGCTCTCCCTCTCGAAATGCTCTCACATGGCCACGCATATATAGCCTCTGCCAGGGAAGTCCTACTCACTGCCTTTTCGTCGTGGGGGTGTTGTTTACGAAAATGAGAGGACGAAATGCAAATGTCCGGCGCTTTAACCAGATTCCAAACCAATGGTGCACATGGGCTCCAGTATCCTGCGGGAACAAATGACATATGAACCAATTGTTGGTCACCGGCTACCATGGGACTGCATTTCCTTACGATGCTCCACTGCCTTGTGGATCAGGCCTTCAGGTCGAAGGCTCGGGGAGTGGCGCTCTAAGAAAACCACCTGCTTCGGTCTGGGCACCCGGGCTGTATCACAGCCCTCACACATATCAAATGAGATTTGTGTGGCGCATATGTATTTGGTGCCTCCTTGTAACAATATCTATGTGTTAAAATAATAATAACACTATATACTTGTATAACAAACGCTAAATACAGTAATGTGTTGTTATTACTTAATAACTTGGTTACTATTTTGGTAGTTACATTTGCAATCTGCTACAATATTTATAAAGTCATTGTCTTATTTGTGAACACTAAATAGTACATACGAATTCATCTTCTTCATGGTTTGATAAGTGCATTTGACTGAAGGAAAATGATGTCTAAACTTGCGTATTATTGATTATTTCTAGGCGACGCATGAAATGACATAAAGAGAACAGAAATAATCAAAATTATATGACCTTAAATATATATATGATTTTCATTTGTCTAAATTATTCATATCAGATTATTTATGTAGGCGAAGTGATCAATTCGGAAATAAACAGTTGAAAAATAACTAAATTTAGATGTCCTTTAACTGGAACAGTAATAACGTTCTTGTTGGAGTATAGTACACATGTACGTGAAAACTGTTCACAAATTAAAAACAATTTTCTGCTGTTATTCGAAATGCAAAAGTCACCATGGCATCTGAATCATAGCCTTCTGCACGCTGTTTTGATTCACAGTATTGTTTACGCAGTTTATATGTTTTATAATGAAATTCCAATCCATTTCTGAATAACGTTTACATGAATGTAAACTCATTAAGAATCTAAGCATGATGAATGAATGTTATGTATATGTCAGGAGGATACGATTCAAAGGAACCAATATCTGTCATTGATCATATAATTCTTAAAATTATTTACTCATCTTAATTCTTTCATCACGGTACTATCAGTTATTGTATAATAATTTCAGTTTTATAGTTAATTTTCCTTAATTCGATTGTGACGGTTCTAGGAAACAAACGATCTCAATCTCTAGAGTTTACTTCAATAATTATATCGAGTATTTTTCAGTCAATCAGTCAGCTACAACGTAGGACCAGGCACATATATGCATCGGTCCAATTCGCCACACCACATTAGAACAAGACGAGTACCAAATTCAAAAGATAGTTGCTACAATGGTAGTGAAAAAGATTTCATATAGGGATATGATACAGGGAGAAACAATTAGTTTGTGGAAATAATTTTAATCTCACGGTTTAAAGGAAGACAAAGAGTGTATACACCTACATCACTGTGGCCGATTCTGAGCCATGTCACACAGTCTGCAACCATTGGTTACAATAGACGCGCGAACCTCAACCAAGTAGTCTGTATCTACCAACATGGCTCAGGCCAAACGCTAGTGACTCTATGGACTGAAGTTTTGCCGGACACCACTTGAGGTTGCGAAATCAGATGACAGTTCACCATAAGCTACGAATCGACTGGTAGTGTTTGAGTAAAGAGCCTTCACTAAGTTTATGTACTTCTGAAGTAAGCCTTTCAATGATAGACACTGCCACAGAACCTCTCGGTCTACCGAATCAAATGCTCCTTTTAAGTGAAAATGACCATCATTTTTGAACGCTGATAAGCGCGCTTGTGTTCTAAAATCTGACGAATGGTGAATTGTGGTCCATGTAGCCACGACCAGGTCTGAAGCGGGAATTAGAAAAAGACACTGGTGGTCGGTAAGATATACATTGAAGAAATCACCAAACTGAATCACGAGGCAAATGCTCACTCGTAATCCTGAAGGGGAAAGGAAAAGTTGAAGACGAAGGAACATATTTTGCATGGAATTTTAAGCAGATATCAAAAGGATGAATAGCAAGTCGGAAAGGAGAGCAGAAGACAGAGTTGTTTGGAGAATCATGGTCGGCGACCTATCCTCCTACATTAATGGTAGAGGACGCAAGTGAGGTGAAGTAAAAATGATAGCATAAAAGAATGAATCAAAAAACAACATTTTATTAACTAAACATATATATTTGTACATTCAGTGTCATTTAGGCTTCAAAAATAATCAGTGCCTGGATCGATTTCGTTCCATGCTTAGAGAGCTAATTTATTTTAGTCTTATAGTTGGAATTTCCACACAGAGAAATGACTATCTCAGTTCCAAAATATTGGACTACTGATTGAATAGCAAAAGTTTTATTTTTAATTTGCATATACATTGAATTCGCAATCATAATGCTAAATTAGGTGTATGTCTCTATTCGTGAAAAAAATCGATTATTGCTTACATAAAACACTTGTTCATCATGACCTTCATAAAAAAGTCAAAAAATACAAGCAGTCGAAAGTCACTTTTTAGCTTTTTATTTATAGAAGAGGACGAATATGAGAAAGAAACATAAAAGTATTTTAGATTATTAAAGTCATTTTTTATTTTAAAGATTGTCGAAAAGTAAATCAATAAATGGGATACTTATAATAAATACACGTTTTGTGTAGTACAAAAACACAGACAAGAAGCATTTCTTAAACAAAGATATCGAGAATATAACAAAAATCAAATGTTCATAGAGAAATCTTTTTAAGGCTGTGCAGAAGGTTGTCCAGGTAGATATTGTCCCTGAAGACCACCACCAGCAAGGGGAGCTTGTGCGTCAATATTGCCTCCACCATTACTAGGAAAAGCACCATTACCACCCATTGAATGAGCAGGAAGCATCATGTTAGGGGGAGAAAACGCTGCATTTGGAGGCATTGGCATTGTAGGATAAGCGCCATAGAATGGATACATTGTTGGATAAGGAGCCATTCCTAAATGTAATAGGACAAAAAATTAAAGTTCAAGCAACAACTTGATTGAACCACATGATAACAAAAACCTATAAATAAAACCTATCACATAGCTCAATTGATTTTACTTGTTCCTTGTGTTTACATTTAAAAAAAATTTATCTTCCAACCAAAATGGAAGACTATGTCTAAATGTGTAGAAATATTCAACGTTATCACAATGATCGTTGTTTCGAAATCTATTGAAAAAGAATGCACCAGATTTTACCTATGAAAATCTATTTCAAAAAATGAACGTTCCAAATTATTAATCAAATAATTCTTCTCCAGACGAATTCAATGAAGTTTGAGATTGCTACAGTACTCGATCATATAAATTAAGCAGAAAGTAATTTTCCTTATCTGTTCAAAAAGATATTCGACTACAAACTATTTTCCTAATTGGCTTTTAATAACCGAAAACGAAAATACACTCTTTTTCACTCGATTAATTTGAACACTAATTATTGATTGTGGCAACCATCTAATTTGCAACTGATCACAACCTATGTGTTGGAATAGAAGTCTTAAGACGACAACCCTAATTAGTTATATTCTACCTTGAACAATAAATAATCGATTCGACGAACGTTTGGAAATCATTTGCAGTGAACTTGTAGGTGTGTAATTAACAGTTATTTCAATGACAAAAAAAGGAATTTAACGAAACTCAGGAATCAGTTATCCTAGTGATTTCCATAATATTTAGTTCAAGTTATCAAATATGCATTAATTGGCATAATCTAAAGATTTAGTCAACATGACTTGGAACGAAGAAATTGGTCGCGGTCGTAATTTCATAATTTCGACCCACAACAGGCCGAACTAGGTACTTTCATACAAATCAGCTTTAAGAGATTATTCTGTCACACAATGCAAATAAATTTATATCCAATTTTAATTATGTAGTTATTAGTAATGATAACCGATTATGAAAGTTCACTACAGTTTTAATCTTAATTTTCCAAACGTTATGTAATTAACTGATTATTACTTTGTTAAACTGACTCACAACAATCCAACTGGCATCGACTTTCTACTCACTTATAAATTATATATAATTAGTGTAGAGGTGTGATGGAGAATTAATTGAAAAGAAATATTTCTTCTCTAAACGTATTTTTATAGTGCCTCAATAGGAAAATTTAGTGAAATGAAATAACTAAGTATAATAGTAATGACTTAAAACTAGGAATACATAAAATGTAGGATGAATAAATCAGTAGTAACAATCAGTAATGCATAAACAAGAAAAGGGAAAGGTATAATGTGTGTTAACAGCTTTTTCTTAATAACACGGAATAGCTGGTACTGTGATAAAACGAAACGCAAATAAAACCATTAATAAAAAACGAATTTTTTCAAAAGATATGAACACCATGTTATTTTCGCTGAGGTGAATCTACTAAACACTGATTTAGTTTACTGAAATTATAATACCTGTATATTTAATGTTGGTTTAATTTCCAAAGCTGATAGTCTGTCATGGTCTAAGTTATGTATCAGATTTATTCTACTGATGTAAGAAATAATAGTATTTATCCTGTTAAATGATTAATAATACAATGCACCTGGATCAACGTATTGAATGGAATGACCAATGATCTTGCAATATGTTATTATAAATAAACAGTATAAGATATTCATAATTTATGTAAAAAAGTGTATCACAGTTATCAAAGGGACAAGATGTTATTATCAATGATTTAGTCATTATCTTGGAACAAAATTTCAAATAGGGAAAACGATAAACTTTAAGCTGGAGTTATGGTGTCGTCTAATTGAACGCTTGATTACGTATTCTATGCTCTTCTAATAACACCGGGCTAAATCTACACGGCAGCTTGAACATGAGAGAAAAGGCGCGAAGTGTTAGAAGAACGCTTTACTCCAAAGTACCTCTATGTATAGAAAATCGAGAGTATTTATAGTGATTCAGATGGTCTTAGAAGATTCTAGAACCACACTAAATAAAGTAACTGAATAGGTTTATATCCAGTCAGAAATGTGACACGTGATTCTTCGCTTTCTAGATGTTTCTATGAGGCTTATACTTAGCACTGGTTAGATAAAATCTTTCTCAACGTTTTCAGGACCTTTCTGGACTTTTTTGAGGAATAATTCGGATCTCCCTAACACGTTTCTTTGTATCCACTTGCAATATCAAATTATATAAAACTATCAACAATCCTTTTATTTTAATCTTCACCTACACAATAAAACTTGTATTTTATTTAAATCGTTTATATTGTACAGAACTATGAATAAAAATTACGACAAATTCATCAACACACAGGCACACACATACATACCAGTATTTTATACAATTTTACCCATTAATAAATTTGACTAAAGCAAGAACAGAAAGGATAACAGAATAAAACTGAATGATCGACTTAATCGAAGTAACTAAAAAGTTGAAGTCAAATGAATGCATTTAAAAATAGACACAGTTTTAAATCTCTCATCATCCTAGAAAGTTCTATTTTTTTTTATTAATCAATTACATAGTATCACATTTCATATTCTTAATTACAAATTCATTCTTGAGTCAACCTTTGAGCTTTACTCATCTTATTCTGTAAATCTATTCAACTTTATGGTTATTATTACGTAACGCTGCAGCATCGATTTCCATCCACTAGAAACATTTCTAAAATCTTCACATTCAGTAACAAATAAATGCTCGGTCATTTTACAAACTTTTTCATAATTATTGTCATTATTCTACTAAACCTTAATAACATTATGTAAAGGTGGTTATAAATGATGATTACTATTGTTTCTAGGTTGTAAGTTACTTACTGACGCGTGTTACTCCCAATGGAGCATAGGCCACCGACCAGCATTCTCCAACCTACTCTGTCCTCCGCCTTCCCTTCTAGTTCCATCCAATTCTTGTTCATTTTTCGCATGTCTATCTCCATTTCTCGGCGTAATGTGTTCTTTGGTCTTCCTCTCCTCCTCCTTTGGCCTCTAGGATTCCATGTGAGGGCTTGTCTTGTGACACAGTTGGGTGCTTTCCTCAATGTGTGTCCTATCCACTTCCAGCGCTTCTTCCTGATTTCTTCCTCCGCTGGGATCTGGTTTGTTCTCTTCCACAGTACGTTGTTGTTAATAGTTTCCGGCCAACGGATCGGAAGTACTTAGCGTAGACAACTTTTAATAAACACTTGTATCTTCTGGATGATGGCTTTTGTAGTTCTCCAGGTTCCTGCCCCATACAGTAGAACTGTCTTGACATTTGTATTGAAAATCCTGACCTTGGTGTTGGTTGACAGTTGCTTTGAGTTCCAGATGTCCCTCAGTTGTAAATATGCTGCTCTTACTTTGCCGATCCGCGCCTTCACATCTGCTTCAGATCTACCCTGTTCATCAATGATGCTGCCCAAATTTCTTGTTAGCTACTTAGGTTGTAAGTAGCTAACAAGAATTCAAAAAAACCAATGATTTCATCTTATTCCGATACACTTCTTATTTTTACTTTAGTCAAACATGATTTTTTTCAGTAACAGAAAAGCACACTAAACAACATACCACTGAAAAAACTTCCATTCCATATTCTGTTGAAAACAATATACATCAAACTTTTAATGCTTACCATATGGTGAAGGTTGAGGCATCACAGGATCTAGAAACAAAATTAAATAATGGATCATGTATACATGAATTTATTCACTAAGCAGATAACTACAATTGCAGGTATATTATGACTTTAAAGAAAAAAGGCATTAATTAAACATTGAATAATAGAAAAACCACAATGCACTGTATTCAACTGTTTATACTTCTATTTCACTCACAGCTAATATCAGTAAACAATGAAATGAACACGGACATAGTTACAGCATTATGTAATTAAATTTCCAAATGTTCTATTAGACAAAAATCTATACAGAATAGCTTAAAATAGATTTTTGACCAGTCACTGAAAATTCTATACTACGTGCATAACTTAAATTCATCTACCCACCTCCTCCTAGAAGAATGTAGATGTAATAGCCAATTCTCAAGGCCAAACCTAACTAATCTATGATTAACTAGTCACAGTCTACCATAACATTAGAGGGAACAAAGATCTATATACTCATCAGTCTTTTAATCTTGAGGGGTAGGATTCAGGGAAGTGTGAATCTCATTTATGGTCACTACTGTGACAGAAGGAACTAAGCTTTATGATATTTAGTGGTTAAAGTATAAGATATATCTTAAAATATTAGCTATGGCAACAGCCTGATATCAGTTGTTACGGTAAATGGTAGAATCTAAAATAAACAATCTTAAAATAAATTGAGAGATAAATCATAACATACAGCCTTGAGGATTCCATGCTTGTGGAGGCATCGGATATGTGGTACTATTCATCATTGGAATTGTTGGTGTTGGCATTGGAACTTGAGGTTGAGCGGGAGGAACAGGGTTGACACGGTTAGCATAAGATGGTTCAGGTCGAGTAGGGACTGAATAAAAACAACAGAAAATAAAATAGTGTTAGCTAATTTCAAATAAAATAATCAGGTATTGTATAAGATTCCGTTAGTTTTATCTTCCATCAATTACCTACAGTTCATAATGATTTTACATTAAATTATATGAAGCTTTAATAAGAAGTCAATAGGTAGATAAGATACACAGGTAGATTGAAAATCATGCAAGTAAATTAAATGAGTTTTAGTGAAATTTAATAAATCTGATTGCCTTATTTTTTGTTTCTTTCTGAAGTCTATTCTCTATGCTTAGTGTTACTTATCACAGATACTATAATCATTTCAAATTTTACGACGGTTATCTAGTTAATTTCAACTCACTACGCTGATATGGTGTAGGAACTTGGTTTGACACACATTAGTGATATGCTCTTACGTCAGTTATGATTCACTAATTTTGCTCTAATTACTAGTATTCAGTTATCCTAAAAAGTAATACGAAAAAGAACACTGAAGAATTTCAAATAGATTAACTTATTCACCAAAAGGTTTTTAGAAATACAAGAAAAAACGGAACTCAAACGTTAACGTAATCAAGATAGAAACACACAAACAGGCAGCGACAAAAGTCTAAGAAAGAATTTCCAACTTACCAGATGGTTTCGGAAAGACTTGTTGGTCTGCAACACGAACCCGGCTAATATTTGTTGTAATATCAGACATTAATTCATTTTTCTCAGTAGTACGTGCAGCGCAGAAATCTTCAATCTTTCAAATGCGAAAATGATGAAAGAAATATACAAACAACAGTAAGAAATGAGCACAGTTGTTCAAAATCTAAATTAAAATTGTAACTGCATTTTTAATACCAGTTAGACATATCAGCAACTCAATCATCATACATTACTTAGTTACCAGAAATAAATTTTGCTTAAATTTTTAGTCAATGATTTTTGTTGTTAGAATGTCGTCCGATTTATTGCTGTCGAAACCAGGAAATAATACATCTATCATTGACGTAATATAAGTGTTGTTCAGAAACGAATCAGTACTTACTTCACTAGTATTTTACATCTGTATAGTTTTCTCTTGACAAGCAGAGTACCAAAAAAACTATAAAACTTAGGTTAATATAAGAAAGCAAATTAGTATAGTGAAATTTTCTGTATAAATGCATATCGTTTGATACTACGAATATCTAATTGTAGATAATTAACAGCTAAATTCACTGAATTCTGGGACTTGTCTAGAGGACCAAAGGTCCTGAACTGGAATCCCGTGTGTGGGATCGTGGGTGCGCACCGCTGGAGTCCCATACTAGGACGAAACGGCTGTCTAATGCTTCCATTTTCAAAGCTGTACAATCGCAAATATATATACTTATTTTTTCAGGATGATAATAATTACAATAATAAGGGTAATAAACTTCTGTTAGACATAGTGACAATGAGATAGAATAAACAAAGGTATTAAAAAAATTTAAACAGGGAAACTAATAATCGTTTGATTGTTAGTGGCTTAAGTATCTATCAAAAGATAGGAAAATTATCATTGGGGAAAGATGGCTCAGCATGATTAGATAAAATGTTGAAATTGAGATTAAACGTAATCAGGAAGATCGTAGAAGCAGAAATAAACCAGTTGGGGGTAGAAGATTTAAGAAGATGGCTATGAAGAAAAAAATCATAAGACATTAAGAGCATGGTAGAAGAAGAGGTTGTATCAATCTCTTTTGAAATATCTAAAGGCTAAATATCTAAGCCTTACCTTAACAATATATGAATCTAAATCCAACTTACGGATATACTTAGGACCTAGATTTAGGAAACGATAATTAAGGCTTTTAAGTACCTGTCATAATTAACATCAAATCACATCAAATAAACTTTAGTAGTTAAATAAACACAGATTCAATTATTCAACACCATTTAACTGATCGTGTTGAATGAAACTCTTAAGTAAATTGTACTAAAATGATAATGACCGAACAATAAGTTCCGACTTCCAAACATAACAAACACAACATCACCATAACAAATCAGAATTCGAAGATGATAGCACAAAAGTTGTCAGTAAATAAAGTTAAAGCCAAATAATGTATAATTTACTTTAACACCATGACTTATTTATTGAAGGCTACAATGAAACTATATGAAGTACAGAACCAGTTGTATATATTCCCATTAAAGATCCCAAAAGAGTAACTCTTAATCATTACAAATATGAAATATAAAACTGTAAGATATTTGTTTCACATCAACTTACCTTACACTGGGTATTCACACAAATCTCAGTAAGCTCAGCGTAAAATTTCGTGGCATCACTAACAGCTTCTTTAAGTGCAGAATACTCATCTGCAGCCAGATTAAGCATTGTCAATAGTCCTTTGTCTTTTGAATTACCATCGGACCCACCGTAAAACATATCAGCTTTTGTTTGTAAGTCAGTTAATAAACTTTCTTGTTTATTTAGATTTTCTTGAATAAGTTCACGCACAGACACCATTTTTTCATCAAGCATATCAGTAGCAATTTGTAAATCAACTGTTTCATTATGTTCTCTATAGTACGTCAATAGCTTTTTAACTGTCGGAAAATAAAAATGCATATTAAGTATCCATACAAGAGAAACCTATTCCAAATTAATGACTTGGTTCATGAAAGTTATTCACACTAACACAAAGTGATACTGTGGGATAATGGGTTTTAGCATTAGACTTAACACGTGCAACGAATTTTTGGATACGCAAATATTTTCATTTGAGATATGAACTGGGTCAGTATCTACAATGAGTAACAGTGCATCACCCGTGTAATAAATACAATTCTGTGTTGGAAATCATTCATTGGGTTGTCAATTTCTCAGTCTTGTGTGTAGCTTCCCATCTATCGATCAAGACTTCATTCGTAAACTTAACAAACGAAATGCTTTTGTTCTGGCTCGAGAAGCCCTTCTTCACAACACTAATAAGCGTGCAACGCCAATATGCAAAAATGACTTAGTAAACTAAATAATAAGTTCCCACGTTTTGTAGACAACTCATTTCCGACTTTCTGATTTCATCTGATGAGCAGATAATCGTTAAACTTTTTTTATTGACTAATAAACTATTTAATTCTTCTAATGCTTTTAGCCTAAAAGAATGAATTAAAACCCTGTTAACAGAAACTGTCTATCATCCAGTAACAGTGACGATAAAAGCAACTTCGAACTATCAAACTACTATTTTAGATTGAATTAATCGATAGTTATGATGAAAGTTTTATGTGAGTGACTAAAAGAAACTAAGTTGAAGAAAAATATTCTCCTGACTACTAAAATAATATAATGAAATTGCACACACATGCAAACACATACGCACAAATGTGTATATAGTCCAGCGACTAAAAGAAAATGTGTTCATCTTAAGTAAACAAAACGCAAAATAATGATTATTCTAGCTAACTGTAATGAAAGCAAATATTTGCTTTCAATTAATGCCAAAAAAGATGACGAACAGAAAAAACCCAACCTAGTGTTATTCGGTTTCATTGCAGAACAAGGCTAATACTATATGTTTATATTTTATAATTTATATTTTCTAAACCCAGTAAATTAACAAAATTCATTGATCGACAGCGTTTTAACGACGAAATGCTAATTTTCTCGAAATACTGAAATTAAACGGGAACTATGTGAACAAAGTTCGTCTAACGCTAGTTATCTTCAACTACACAAACTAAAAATTATCTAAGTGAAACGAATTAATGGAATTTTTTCCTATTCAAACAGCTGTCCTTAATTCCATCAAGGATAAATATCGCTTCAAACTTGAGCCAATGACATAAGCCTTCATTATAAATTGAAAAAGTTTTAAGAAAATTGGAAATTTTTGAATTATTTACTTTTATTGTATTATTATTATTATTATTATTATTATTATTATTATTATTATTAATGGCTTTATTCAATATTATCTTTTTGGTACAATATAGAATTCTCAGCACATGGCTAATAGGTAACTGCATAATTGTTTTTCAATATTCCCCTCACTTGAGGCTTCCAGTAAACCTGTTTGTTTCACTCTTTACCACTGGTGGCACGATTGTATTTAAGGTATGATTTCCTATTTGGTGTGCTATGCGATCTGATAATTCGCGTATATAAGTTAGTGAGTGTTTGAGATAGCCCTTGGCTGTACTGTGCTGACTGGATAGGCTGGGTGATTGAAGCAATAATAAAATAAGCTTAGCAACCGACTTATCTCCAGACTCAAGGCTGATAGGGAAAGGCTTGTGGATAAATAGATTAATAGGAGTGTAACTTACCTTGCCTCAAGGTCAGAAAGTTAAATTGGTCAAGTCTAGGACATTAGACTACAGACAAAATAGTAGGAGCAAGATAGAAAGTTAGAATCGGGATTCTGATTGGTTAATCTAGCAGGTGCATTCGATTAGCGTCACATAACTGTAAAGATCTTAGAAACGATACTGGATACGCAAGAAAGTGGCAAAGATTTTTGAAGACGTGAATTTGTATTTCAACTTTACACTACATATCGCCATTTTATAATAAAACTACATGATTTCCAGCCATCTTACCCGAAGCCTTGACTCACATATTACATACATTTCGTGCACCCAACAACCAGGACGTCTGAATACTAAGGATTCAAGTTTAACAATCAATATCTATACAAACGGATGCCATATTATATTTCGATCATTTACAGCTTACTTTCCACTTATTTAACCACATGAGTCCATCAAAGTTCGTGGCCTCACCAACCGATTTATAATTCCAATCTAGTACTCAATAGATCCACCAAAAGCGCATAAGGACTCAAAGATTTCCATGATCAAATGAACACAAGTTGCATGTGGATCTTCACCTTTGAAGGGAATGTTTCGCAAGTATAAAGCAATACAAAACGAAATGATTCCTAGTTCGCTCACTACACGTAGTGTAGGTTGGTCAATATTAAGCGATATTTTGCTAATTGACGACTTATCTGGGATAAATAGACTCTCAAGATAAATAAACAGCTTAGACCATTCGAATGAACACGGCGATTTACTAGTTTGAGACCTAAATTAGTAAGCTCAGTAGCCGCATCATAATTCTACACTTTAAAAAATTGTCAAAATATAATTGAGAAATAAAAGATTACCATAATAAATTGAATCGAGAAATCTTACCTAGATCCGGTGAATAATCAACTAATTTCAACTGTTCTATTAGATCATTTCTTTCCGTCTTAATTAATTCTAGTTTGTTGCATAACTGAGTTAGTTCAGATTTTAGTTCTTCATTATTGGCTTCAGTATTAGATTCGGCAAATTTTGCATCTGATCCAATAAGCGTTTCAAGTTCATCTTCTGGTTTACTTAATATTTCAAAATGTTCTTTATGCTTTTCATATCGTTCTAAAAGAGATGCATCAGTTTTCGTAGTCTAGATCAAATAAAAGAATCAAAAGAGCATACTTGAGTTTTGAAATAAAAATTTTAAACAAATAAAAAAATCTCATTTTTATAAATTATACAACAATATAAGATTTTCAAGGTAGTACAATGTTTGATACAATGAATTATGCAGTGATTCAAATGTTAAGTCGGAAAAACTTATCTAAAATCTAATCTATAAAAAGAAATAAAGATGTACACTCTTATGTAAAAGTCCACACACTTTATAGTTTGTTTAGCCCAGAGAGGGATATGATTAGAAAAAACTATGAAATGTTCAAGGTTGAAAGAGTCTAATATTGTTTCCGAACTACTACAATTGAATTCGAGTACTATTATCTGAGGGTACCCAAACCATTGATTTCTAGCATAGATCGTTTTGGAGCTTGGACCACCAGCCAATGACTGCAAGAATTAATGACCTATATGATGCCAAACAACACAAACAATTTTTGTTCAATCCTATTTCAGTTGGCTCTAGGAGTTCTGTCATGGAGTACAGCTTAATATGCCTCAACTTGATTGGAGTCAAAACGTCCGACACCTAATAATCGAGGCAGACAAATCATGAGAAGTTATTTAATACTTGGACGATATATGCTAAAGATCTATGCACGTTCGAGGATTCAGAAAGAACAAACAAAGAATGGAGGTAAAAAGGCTTCATTTGTGGAATCCGATCGTAGCTCTTGACATGATGTGGTGGTTGAGCTTACCTATAGCAATAACCCAATCGAGCTATATTGCTAAGTATATTCATTCCCTTATATCCCACACTGCTAGGCAGGTTGGTTGGTGAACGGTGGGACTAAAGGCAGTAACTCAAGGTATGATGGCGAAATCTAACCGCTGATTGTACTGGTATGTATGGCAGCAGTTAGGTGTTTCCTTGAGATGCTGTCTTTTCACAACATGAGGAATGGATTAGAAAACATCGGCTCTAAAAAAACACTACACTTTATCCCACAAATTTCCGTTTTCGGAGACAAGACCTCTAAAATATAGAGCTAACTCATCTACAACTACTTGAAAGCAGGCCGAATACGCAACTTTTCTCATGCAGTTTTCCCTTTGAATCTGCGGTCACGCTTCATGGTCACTATGGCCACTCACTAATTCAGCTTCATCTCCAAGTAACTCGGAGAAAATTGTCGTTCGACAGTGCGGGTACCATGGAAGTGACAACTGACATCATACCTCTAACAGCACTCTAGATCCACTCGTTCACAACCGAATTCCCTCACCACTTCTAAATATCCCTTCTGTCCCCATCATCAATCCGTCGCCTATGTGTTTCATTACCCTAGGCGCAGTTAATGCTAACGATTCAATTTCACGAAACGTCATTCCTGGTATCCTGAAAACTCTGTCTAACCTACATGTCGGTGATTTCGCGGATCGAACTTTATGTAAAGATGGACAACAAGTTTCCTTATCTAGGAACTCCAGAGTCTCATTCCACCGATACACGCTACGTCTACGTAACAAGCACAAGGGATTTAAATGCGATCATTTACCTGACCTTACCTGGTCAATATAGAAAACCAGAGCGATTTATTTTCCATGTATCTGGGGTCTTGACTGATAATTTTCGCTGGAGTACACAAGTATTATGCGCAAAAGCGGATCATGTGCTCCTAAAGTGGATTTTAACACAGTTGCTTGAGTCGTACAACACACAGTGTGCCTCCGTTTCCACTAATTGCAGTTCGGATGAAGTAAAGAACGAACTTTGTAGACAAACTATCATACATCGTAATCATAGTAAGAGATTTCACCTCTTAATGCGGCAGTCCAAACTAAAGTGGAAGACATGGAGATAGGTTTACAGTATCTTAGTTCAATGAACAAATAACAGCGACCGTTTGCAGACACTATGCTTAAACAACCGTTTCTACTTAGCAAGCACCAACCTTAGGGATAAAGAGATGCATTCTCTAACATAATGACCCTTAAAATTGACTCAACAAATCGACGCAAATAAACCATATTGCCAGCAGCCATCATCGAGGAGGATCAATAGGAAACTATATGTAGTTAGACACTGATCATCCTCCAGTGAGAGTGAGCGTTTATCTGATGTTTACTGGACGCCGAAAAACCCAGGTAAGAAGTCCCTTTAGAGCCCAGCTTAATAACGAAACAGTCGAGTATATTTTAGAAACAACTAGAGAGAAAAGTATTGTCATAGGAGTGATGTTTAGTTCGGTAGGCTCGGGGAACGATGAAGAGCAATGGTGGGCAGCGGGAGCAAAAGAGATGGGAAAAGTAGTGGCGGTAGGCGACTTTTCAGGCTTATCAAAATGCAGGTATTAAAAAGTATATACAATGGTCTACTCTTAGCTTATACGATTAGACTGATGGACAGAACGCTTTTGAGAACAGTTTAACTTAACCTTTCAGTCAATATGAACGGGAAATCGGCACAAGTTCCCCAACTATTAGTGATGTTGAGGAAGCTACAGCTGATCCAAAGCAAGGAAGAGCAGTGTGCCCTGACGAATTAACTGGTAGTTCAGCTTCAGCAGTTAGGCGGACTAAGATGTTACCTAAAGTCTTTTGATCACTTTCAGTAACAATGCCAACACATTTTGGATGCGTTACTCTCTTTCTAAATTCAAAATGTTGCTTTAGAACTAATCGACGTCAAGCCCTGATTTAATGATAGGGAGTAATGTAGTTGAGTGACGACCAGTTCATTTGACTTGGAGGTCTCATCAGTCCTGGAACATTTGTAAGTAATTAGATGATAGCATGTTGTAATGGGCTAAATGATGGAATAGATCGGTATCTCTGTTCATGCAACACAATTTAATAGATGAAGTCTGTCAGATCATGTAACGAATTGCCTTTAAATCAAAAACAGAAGAGACTGGTAAGTCTAATGTAGATTATTTTAAAAAGATATCATTTACATGAACTCTAAAACGCATTTATTTAGTAAAATTTTATAGATACTATCCTTCAGTACCACTTTTGTGATTACCATCATGACTTCTTTTCTTTACTATTCAAATGGTTATTTTTATTCAGGAATGTTAATATTTTAGTTTCTTTTTACAAAAGAATAATAGCCGATTACTGAACAATGAATTGCTTACTTGTTCAAGTAAATTCAAACATTTTTGTATATCAGAACGCCATAATTTGTTCAATTCACTTGATGGTTTCCGTGACCAACGTTCACCATATTGTTTTCGTAAACTATTATCAGAATTCTCTTCATCATCTAGTGAACTTTTCTCCTAAATAATTGAGATAGAAAAATATTGATTTGATAGTAAATACATTTGTATAGAAAACAAGGAAATAGATTTACGCTAATTAGGAATAATAAAAGTTCATCTCGACTAAGTACATACATTCTTAAGTTATTATGAATCTGGGACACAATTGTCTAGGTTTTCAAACAGTGATGATAGAAAATCAACTCATTGAAATTAAAATTTATTCAATACAACTCAGTAACCACGTACAGGTTTTAAGTATTCGTCTTCAAATTTCTCTTAGGTGCGGAAGTTAGTGATACTGCTTGGCTGACAAATTGGATTGGAGCAGGACTCAATTTTGTGGCCAATGTTTCGAAATAACGGTGCTCTAACTACAAAACTACTAATTTATCACCATTTTTTATAAGAAATAATCATACAATTATATAAGTGAGTATAAGTTAATAAATTACGATAAATGTCATATTATGCGCGGACTAAAGGTACTCTTGAATAAACCAACTCAAACGTGTGTTACATAATTATAAAAAATCAATTGTTCGAGCTATTGTGATTAAAGCATACTTTTGTGAGAGGAAAAACATAGACAGCCAGACAGTATAATTATTTTAAGCTTAAATAAATGTGTGACTAAAGACAGAATATACGAACCCAGATTCAATTTCAGAATTATAAATTTAAATAAATATTTATAACTCTAAATAAATTCAGTGTTTTTACAATTTCGATCAAATGTATTGAAAGCTTACAGCCTCAATAATTTCTTTATTACGTTGAACGCATTCAGGTATCGACGTTAGTTGCTGATACAATTTTTCTGCCCCACCATCTCGACGTATAGAAGTAGCTTTGGATAAAATATTATCCGTAATTGAGTTTGATCCCTTAGCAAGTAATGCTGCCGGGAAATTGTATGAAGCTAACACTCTGAAAATATCGAAAAATAACACCATTAGTAGCTTGTTACATAGAAAATGGTATAGAAGACATTAAAACATTTTCACGAAAAAAACCGTAACTAAAATAAGAGATGGTTGAAGAAAAGAAGTTTTCTAAAAGCCACTTTCGTAGTGATGCAACAAAAAGATTTTCTTGGTCAAGAACCATAGGAAAATCGCGGTAAGATCGTCGACCGAAAAAGTGTAACTGCAATTTATAAACCAATTACCAAAACTCTTACAATTCACATAAAAGAAAGTCTGGCTTTAAAGTAATATTCCACTTTCCACTTAAAAGACAATGCCTACATTTAAGTATTCAGAGATACACAATACGAATTGTTTAACGAAAGTAAAAAGCATAGTAGACAAATACGAATGTCAGTGGGACAAGCTGGAATAATACAAACGTAAAAGATAAAATGGTTCTGGGCAACAAGCAGCATCATCATAAGGAATGTATCACTATTGAAACCCTAGACAAGATTTAAGAAAGGAGGAACAAGAAGACGGTAATTAACAACAGTCGAACAGGAACAGAGAAAGTGAAGGTACAAGCTGAATAAACAGAAGAAAACAAGCAAGTGAAGAGGAGCAATACATCTGACAAGCAGAAGCACGTGGAAGACATAGCGAAGACAGTGGAAAAAACTACAAAACAAGGAAATATGAAACAATTATATGGTAAAGAAGAAACCTACAGGGAAATATAATAAACCAGAGAAACCGGTCAAGGACAAAGAAAGCAAGACGATCACAGAGATTCAAGAATAGAGGAACAGATAAGTGAAACAATTCAAGGAACTCTTAAATACACCAGCTTCATTGAATCCACCGGACATCGAAGCAGCACACACAGACTGTCCTGTCACTAAACCGACAATCAAAGAAATACACATGGCTATCAGACAAATCAAGAGTGGAAAAGCAGCTGGACCTGACAATATACCAGCTAAAGCACTAAAGCGACACATAGAAATAACCGCAAACAGGCTCCACGTTATCTTCAGGAAGATTTGGGGGGAAGAACAGATTAGAAAGAAGGACACCGCCAAAATACCAAAGAAAGGAGATCTGAGCAAGTGTGAGAACCACAGAGACATCATAGTACTGTCAGTACCAGGAAAGGTTTTCAACAGTGTTGCTAAACCGGATGAAAGACTCAGTAGACGTCCAACATCGAGATCAACAAACTGGATTCCGTAAGGACCGGTCGCGCACATACCAAATCGCGACACTACGGATCATCGTTGAAAAATCAATCCGTCGGTCAGATACCATCAGTAAGAGCCTACTGAGAGTGAGAACAAACCAGCTTCCAGCTGAGGAGAAATTAGAAAAAGACGCTGGATGTCGGTAGGACATGCATTGCAGGAATCAAACTGCATCAAGAGGAAATCCCTAACTTGGAATCCTGGAGGGTAAGGGAAAAGAGGAAGGCCGAAAACACACTGCGCCGAGGACTGGAAGCAGACATCAAGAGGATGAATAACAACTGGAAAAGATTGCCCAGGACAGAGTTGAATGGAGAACGTTGGTGAGTGGTCTATGCTCCTTCACAAGGTGTAACAGAAGTAAGCGAGTAAGTACACTAAAATACCAGTAGCAGATAAATGACGATGTTTACACATAAATCGATAAAATGACATATGTAAAAATATGCAACTAAAGTGTAACAATGAGCAGTTATAAGGAAGTTTGAAATCGCCAAAGATTCCATTAGAACACAACGCGCAATACTAACTATAGTTGGAGACGGTTGGAAGAAACCTAGGGGCGGCCAAACCAAAATTTGACATCGGTTCGTGAAGTCACTAACTTTTAGTCTTAGCCATGTTGGTAGATGCAGACTACTTGGTTGGGGTCCGCGTAACTATCGTAGCCAATTGGTTGGAGACTCTGGGTGACATGGCTCAGAATCGATCACAATGGTGTAGGTGTGTACACTATTTGTCTACCCCTAAACCGTGGGATTAGAATCGTTTCATATCTTTCTTTCTACGAACTAATTATTTGTTCCTGTACTATATCCAAATATGCAATCTTTCTTTTATATATTACTACCATTAAAATAACTACTTTTATGAATTCGGCGTTGATCTTGTGCTAATGAGGTGTGGAAACTTGGACTGATGCGTATATGTACCTGACTCTGTGTTGTAGCTGACTGACTGATCATTAGAACAAGCGACATCCTGAGATAGTCATTTATATTACGCTTCTGTGTTTGTGATGTTTGACGTGATCAAGACAAGGATAAATAAGGCGTTTATTTTACCAGTAGAGCGCGAGGGATAGATAATTGATTATTAAAGGGTAAAATTTGAAACAACCCTTTCCGTATTGCTGTGGACATAGATTACCAGCATTTGGTCACTCAACATCTTCAAAATGTTGCTCATGTGTTGTAGGATCATCGGGTAAATAATAATATTTTTAAGCGTTGAGTACTAGAAAAAGTTAATGGGACTGTTAATCAATATCGATTGTGACAAATGGAACATACACCAAGCAGGTCCAACCACAACTTCTGCATCGATGTTTTAAATTAGAAGTTTTGAACATAATCTTGATTTGGAAACAGTTTTGCATGGTTTCTATTTGCGCCCGATTCTCTAATATTATAGTTTCTTCTACACTAAGTTTTTATTTATCTGTTGACTGGAAATGTTAACTTGAATGAATATATATTTATATGGGATGACCAGATCAAGACAGTCACCATATAAACAAAATTGCTTGAAGTTTAAAAGCCACTCATAATTGGGTTTCAGATGTCTGGTTTTGGTATTAATTTTTTATTTTATTTCCGTGATTACACGGGTTAAGTAAAAAAATGCACTCACTCATTCACTTTAGTGGATGCTCCTCGTAGCGTGCAAATTTCGTTGTCGATAAGAGATGCACGAACACCTTTAGCAGTGTTAACAGCTTCTGTAACAGCGACAGGAAGTAGATTTTCGAAATAATCTTTGGTAGTCGATGAGGACAAAGGGAACGTGAGTGGGGTTTTTTTAATGACATCAACAATTTCGACAGGAGCAAGACTTCCTCTGGCGGGTACCTTTTCGTGATATATATGGTCATTGTCTTTTATTGCAACTGATTCTTCTTGTTTAAATTGTTCCACTAAATTCTTTCTCTGAAAACAACTACTTCGAGCAACACATTTGATTAGCTCATAAGCAAACTGTATTAAGAAAAAGTAGGATAAGATGAGAGCGCAAAAACTTAAGACATGAAAATCTAGGTGTTAATGTAATAGAAAGTTCTGAAAAAAATGGAGTAATGCATTATAACTTTTTTCTTCTAGATGTTTCTAATTGTTTCTGAAGCAGTAACATAGGTTTTGAAGTATATCGACAGTGTTAGGCTTTGTATCCTCATTTATATTAAGAGCCGAATAAGAGCATTTACGAATACTTTTATAACAATATCAAAAGCCAATCCGTAATATTTGAATAAACAATGAAGAGTTTTAGCAAAGTTAGAATATGACAATTACACAATGGGATAGCATGAAACATTCATCAAAATATAAACAAAGTATACATCCGAAAGTTTTAAAGAATGAATTAATAAAAGAACTTATTCATTTATGTAGAAAGTGATTAAGATATAATATCACGTTTTAATTATTCTGAATATAATTTTTGAAAATAAATTCGTTGCTATTATAGGGAATTTTTACAGTTTAAATTAAGAACTGACTTAATCACGAATTATTCTCGAACAAAAAGTGATTACAATAATTTGACACTATTATCAGTTATATGCCTTCCAGCAGACAGAATATGCTATCTTATTAACAATCTCCGAGATGATTCACGTATATGGAGAAACCGGAACAGGAAGATTATGGTGGCGAAGCCATCGTTACTATAACATAGGAAAATTGCTGGTAGAATTTTCAACAAAATCAAACATTACTGAGAACAGGAACCGATTCAAGTTAAACAACCATTGGAAACCTGAAAGTATTAGATGTTTTAGTATGGGGCTTTCCAGAAGTTGGGATACACGACTACAAAATTGGGAACCAAACCTGAGACCTTCGGTCTCGCGCACGAACACCTAACCTTTAGACCACTGAGTTGGGATTCAACAATGTACATGTCTAGCTAAAATCACTCCACGATACTGAGCGACCACCTTCCATTGTGCTTGGTAATTAACCCTGATACGGTTGAACCCCACTATGGCTTTTCACTTAAACTCCGGGCATTTTCTTTCGAAGCCCGTTATAAGTGGGAAAATAATAATTATTAGTGTGATGGAGCAATACTTTGGATTAATTGAAGTTAGACTTGCATACCACTGGATGTCCGCCCAGTGATCTAGAGGCTAGGCGTTCGCGCACGAGACCGAAGATTCTGGGCTCGATTCATGGAGGTGAGGTTGTGGGTGTACGCTAATACAAAGTCTCATGCCAGAACGAAACGGCTGTTCAGTATTCCCAGGTTCTGAACAGTAGTCTAACTTAGATTTCTTTTATGGTCTCAATAGTCTTCACAATCCTATACTAAAAATAATACTGAGAGCCTTCTCTACTGGTTGGAAGAAGCGGAGAGGTGGTCAGTGCATGACATGGTGTCGTGGCATGAAAGAAAGCTGCAAAGGACTGGCTTGTGTCGGTCCTTCACGACTCCCTGGTTGGGGTCCGAGAGATGGTGCTACACAGTGGCTAGAGACGTTATCAGATATGGCTCAGAATAGAAGCCAGTGGCGATCCTGCTGTAACCTTCTTTTACTTTCTTCATAAAAGGTGGTTGTGTCTCCTTTACCTGAAAGATTTCTTCTGATTGTACCTCTTCGTCATTACTCTCTTTTTCTTTTGCGTTCCTTAGTTTTTTTTTTCTTTCTACTTCTCTTCGAATTCCCATTGTTTTGTGTGGCGCATATATATTGGCGCTCTCTTGTACCGATATTTATGTGTTCAAATAAAATAAAATAATAAATAATAACTGCATTCTAAAAGAACTAATAAAATTGGAAATTTACTGAGAGTCAATGAATGAAAAACACTGAATTAATCAATAGAACAAAAACCACATTAAATCAGCATGCAAATTTTAAGAATAATTTCCTTCAGAATGTGTCGTATTTGGTGATTGAGCATTATGAACGTAATCTTAACAACACAATAAAATAGAAAGGCCGGGAAAACGTTTGCAAGAGTAGACAGCACAAAATAGATTGTATACTATCTGATTATAGATTTCAAACTATTCTCAGTATTTCCTTCATATCCCCTTAACGGCTAAGAGAAACAATTACTAGCTTCAAAGAATAATTGAGTGACTTGCACTAACTTTACTCTTTATTAAATCTTAGCCCAAGTCAGGCATTCAATGAATATGATCAGAATACATTATAATGACCTTGGTAAAAAACACCTCTAACACTGTCAAATTATTTACAACTCAACCTTATCATTACTGTCTATAAAACTAACAAACTAGTAATTCTACAATAAGAATATATTAGATACATTTAGCTACATCTTATATCACTACAATAAGGCGATCTGAGCAAGAAAGAAGTTAGCTTAAATGCACTGTAGCTTTTTCTAATTTTTTAATTGAAAAAGATAATTGAAACGTTGAAAAAAGCAATTCAGCTTACTGATATGCGAGCTACTTGTTCCCCGTACTGTTTGGCATCGCAACAAGCTTTAGATTGATGATATTGTGTCAGAGCTTCATATAAACCTTTTTTCATGCTTAATACACCAGACCAATCCTAAGATAAGAATGATAAGAAAATTACAATACTTTTGGAACAACATTTTTAGCTCCACCTGAACAATCTGACAGACAGTCTTCGTAAAGACCAGTCAAGGTTGATGCTATTCTTGCTAAAATGGCAGGCTTTTTCTTATCTAAGGGAGAAATATCATATTATGATACTGTATCATTACCTTTTTCAGCTTTCGAGAGAACACATTCATATGCTTGAGCAAGCATAAGATTACTGAACAGTGTTAGTGCTGATGAAGTTAAATCTGGTAGAGGATCTTTAACCCCAGACATCAAATCTGAAGATATGTAATCAAATGTGCAGGAAGCAATCTGTAAAGGAAATTAAAAAAGACGTGAAACATGGTGATGAAACGGAAGTTTTCGCAATTATCTCCATGTCATATTAACATGTAAAAAGATTTATCACGAAGTGCTCTTATCGTTAATGAGCATTGAATCCTGTTAATCGAATAATGCAGTGTGACCAATAAGATAACATTCCGCTACACAATCCACTTGATGTTATGTAGTTGAAATAAGAAATTCCACTAGGAAGTGTCTGAAAACCTAAACAGATTAGGAATAACGTCTCAGGCTGATTATTTTATCTAAGTTTCAGAGTGCATAGAGACAATTAGAAGCAAAAGTGAATTTTATGGATGTTGTTTAAACTTTCCCTCTTTCACATTTGCATTAAAACCCACAAATTATATGCAATCTGAGAACCATTTTCAAAAATCAAGTGAAGTATTACAATTATTTCTTTATTTGTTCACATAAATATTGGTACAAAGGGGCACCAAATACATATGCACCACACAATAACAATCAGTGTGAGGAGATACAGAATGTAAAGTGTGTATGATATAGAGAATAACAACAACAAACAGAAATTAGTGTATGATGGTGAAATAATAATAGTGGCGGAAACAGTTCAGTTAGTAAAAATACAACCAGAAAGATTCCTTTCAGTTAAAGAAGTTACGCTCACTTTTACGAAGGAAGTAAAACAAGTTACCACAGGATCGCCACTGGTTTCTATTCTCAGCCATGTCTCATAGTGTCTCAAACCACTGTGCTACACCATCTCTAGGACTTCAATTAGGAAGTCGTGAAGGACCAAGAGAAGCCAGTCATTTTCAGCATTCTTTCATACCTCAACACAATATCATACACTGACCACCTCACTGCTTTTTGCAACCAGTCCTAGCGTCGATAAGCAATGCACGACTTGGAATTCTCTAGAACGACATTCGCAGAACATGTCTAAGTCACCGAAGTCGATGTTTCAAGATAGTGACATTAATTGAATTATCGTATCTGTTGTGACTTTATGTCCGGCTTTTTATCAAGTGACCTATCCACCAATCAAAACACGACTTATACAATCTTAGCACTGTGCCAAACAAAAATGACGTTCGACCGGTATGAGCAGCCTAGCGTCCTTATTAGTCCTGTGTCCGCCTAGCCCGTTCACTTGAGTCCAGAACACCAATACCAGCTTCCACTATGCGAATCGAATCGAATCATTTATTTCAGACATACTGGCTTTACATATCAACCAAACAGACCTCAACGCACCATAAAATAGGAAATAACATTTGTACACAATAAAGCCAAAAAGTGGCTGTGGAACGTAGGAGACAGTCAGTCAGTCAGTTAGCTACAACGTAGGACCAGGCACATATGTGCATCGGTCCAGGTTGCCATATCTCATTAGCACCGCAAGATGAACACCGGATTCATAGGAGTGGTTAGGTCCAAGGTTGCAATAAGGATATAGTATAGGAAGAAAGAATTAGTTCGTAGACAGAAAGAATGAAGTGATTTTAGTCTCTTAGTTTAAGGGAAGACAGGGAGTGTATACACCGACGCCATTGTGATCGATTCTGAGCCATGTCACCAAGAGTTTCCAACTATTGGTTACGATAGTCACGCGTACCCCAACCAAGTAGTCTGCATCTACCAACATGGCTCAGACTAGAAGTTAGTGACTTCAAGCACTGATGCCACGTTTTGGTTTGGCCGCCCCTAACTTTCTTCCAACCATCCCCTACCCCGGTTAGCATTGCACGTCGTGGTAATCGGTGTTCAGGCATACGTAATACGTGGCCCAACCATCTCAGTCGATGAAGATTCATAACCTCATCAACTGATTTACCATCATTCCCTAATACCCTGCGTCTAACCTCACTATTACTTACCCGGTGATCCCAGCAGATGCCAGCTTCAGAACAGTAAATCGTACAATAAATTATACGTCAAAATAAAGCGTATAATAAGGGGAATATAAATATACATATTCTAATTATTGAATAGTTATAACATAAGAATGTATAGATAATATTGGTCATTTAATATGTCTTAGAAGTTACTTGTGATTTAATCTTCGCTCGGACATAACAGTATCTGTTCCGAACACAGGATGCTGAACCTCTGCATTACTAATATGGTGTTGCCACTGGATGTCAGCAATCTTTCGGAGACAGCGATGATCGAACAGAGAGATTCGTCTAACATCCTCAACTCGGAGAGGCCAGATTTCACAAGCATAAAGCAAAACCGCTCTCACCGACGCGTTGTAGATCCGAACTTTTACAGCCAGACTAACATCACGAAAGCGCCAAAGATGGCCCAGATTGGCATAAACCGCTCTGGCTTTCACTATACAAGGATTGATCTCATCACTCACGCCACCACCAGCACTTATGCAGCTACCTAGATACACGAACTCAACTACTTCTATCTGCTCACTATCCAAGGTGAGTACAGGATTAGAATCCTGCCAGTCTTTGAGAAGTACTTTGCACTTCGAAGGTACAAAGCACATACCATACCTACGGACACTGATTGCCAACTGATTAAGTGCAGACTGCATGCTTTGGGCATTGTCGCACAGTAAGACAATATTATCCGCACACTCAAGGTCGAGAAGTCTTTCTCCAGGAAACAGATCCATATGATTGTTGGCCTATGATAAGTATGACGGTGTTCTAACATCCGGTGGAGGGTGAAGATATGATCGATACATCCTCGACCAGAACGAAAACCAGCCTGCTCCACGCGAGTCAATCTTTCTCGGGTTTTGAACAATCTACGAAGTATGACTAAAGCCAATAGTTTGGACTCAGTTGGAAGTGTACTTATCCCTCGATAGTTGTTACAGAACCCTTTAAAGATAAGGACAACTATCGACTAATTCCATGATGTTGAAGCACTCTCTAATTGTCAGAGCATTGTAACTAACTCAGACAGTTCCTTGACCAGAAAGTCACCACCATCTTTTAAAAGTACCGCAGGTAAGTCACATGGACACGGTGATTTGTGGAGCTTCAAGAGTTGGAGTTCCTTGTATTTCCAGTATTTACTGTCATTTCATTTGATTTGTTTGTGGGCTGTTGTACTGCCCGAGCACCCAGACCGAAGCAGGTGGTTTTCTTAAGGTGCCACACTCGAAGCCTTCGACCTACAGGTCTGATCCACAAGGCAGTGGATCAACATCAGGAGATGCAGTACCATGGTAACCGATCACCAACAATTGGTTCATGCACCATTCGTTCCTTTAGGATCCTGGAGCCCATGTGCACTATTAGTTTGGAATCCGAGTTTTCCAACTCCCCTAGGTGGAGTCTCCCTGTCCACCGACCCGGTTAAAGCGCCGAACATTCTCTTTTTGTCTTCTCAATTTCGTAAGCAACACCACCTCGAGAAGGCAGTAAGTAGGACTTCCCTGGCAGTGGCTGTATACGCGCGGCCATGTGAGAGCATTTCGAGAGGAAGAGCTGACTCTCCCCACCCTTGGCCGTATCAGGGCATTACAAACTCTCCCTCCATCTGTAGATTCGAAACTGTTGTTCCATGTGCGATTATCTGAGGACTTTGTGAGGTCAGTGTCCAGTTTCGATACCCCATCTAGCACTAAACGCCAGAGTGGACATAACAATAAGTAGTTAGATCCGTTATTACCAACCACTGATATGGTCTTTAACTACAAGGATACGCTAAAAGAAAACATGGGTGGAAAAAGAAGTCGCCTAGTTATCTCCACCTACGCACCAACGGGTTACAGTTCGGATCCAATCAAGGACGAGTTCTACTAACAGCCAAATGATCTTTTTAATTCATCGTATTAAAATGGACGTCTTGGTGCTAGTCGAAGATTTAAATTAACAGGCCGGAAGTTTAGGCACAAAGGTGTTGCTTCGATAGCTAAATGGGATGCGATGGTTACTGTGACCGTCTTCTGTAACAAGTGTCAACCGCAACCATTACCGATGTGGTATTGTGCACCCATCCACAGCACAAACCTTGACTCAGATTAACCACATTGAGGTCGACTACTCTTTTTGGAGTACCTATCTTAATTATAATCAGGTATGCTCTAAACTTATCTCACACTGTGGTGGTCAACAAATTTATGATCCCATACAAACTGATAAAAGCTAATTGGCCACACCGTAAAGTACAGATGAGCACTGGCTGCATTTGGATAGCGCCATGGAAATTGTAAAAAAAGCCACTTGATGTTTCGCGAAACGTCCCCCTTATAAAATATAGGTTCTTGAATGTTTCCTAAAACTTCTTGAATGTACAATGGTCTATTGTGTCGAATCAAGAATCCAAAAGTAAAAGTAATTCCCTAACTCAAGAGATTTCACAAAACTCGCGTGAGGACTAAGAAACCTGGTGTTTGTATAATCCTGACCAGCTGGAAGTAACATCTGGAAAATTTCAGGGGCCGTTTCAACTTGTCCCAGTCAATGTCACCAAGTAGTTTGGTACCAACGAAACAGTCGGTTAATTTGGCGGTATTTCGGTCGAGAGTCTCTAAAGACGTCCTGGTAATCAAATAAGGCATTTTGGAAAACGGCTTACCTGGACAATGACCATAGGACGGTTCTATCCTCATTACTCATCAGTGTTTTGAACCATGTGTGGTTAGGAAGAGTTGTTCGACCTGCTATTCCTACACCATTTTGACATCAATGGCATTCTAGAAACACCTCTGAAGAAAATATATGGTGGTTGAGTAGATATGTTTTCCGCAGATACACTTCGAACTGTTAGGCAGATGACATTACCTTACCGTGTGATGATACACAGGTTATCCAAATCACAAATAAATAATATCCGTAGGCACAGTATGTACCTCACGACTTCAAAGTGTGAAATACTCCCGAAAGATTGCCAAGGACCTGTGTCTGGACTCACTCAATGTAATGAACCGTAATAAAGTTGGAAAGTTCGTATCTTTAGTAATTGTGAGTCTAGTGGGTGATGTGACAGATAAGATAAATCTGCTTACAGAGAAAGTCAGAGTAGTTTATACCAATCTGGGTCATCTTTGGCGCCAGCATAATGTAAGGTTGAGGAATGTCTGGTTTATAACCAATTAGTCAGGGTAGTTCTGATGACGTCCGGTAACGCTTTGGGTTCGGTCATCAGCGCCTTTGAAAGATTGTTCGCATCAGGCGGCAACACCATGTTAATAAAGGATAAATTCATCAGAATGCGTTCAGGAGTAATGACGGTAATTCCATTGGTTTCACCACTTTAAAACGTCAACTTTAGTGGTCTGAGCGTATTTTACGGACATCATCCCAGCTGTTTTCATAATGCGCATTGTTTGCTAATTGCGGGACTGAGTGGAAAAGGCCGAGGTGGCCAGTTTATTAATGATATCTGTTAATCCAAAGCAACTAAAAATTTTGGGTCCCAGAGATTGTGAAATTCCGTGGCTAGACACGTTATCGTATATATATAAGTTATACATTGCATCCACATTTAAAAAATTATATTGTTAATACCTTGAAAGATTTCAAAGCTTGTTGGAGTGAATTTTCACAATTGGGACGGCACGATTCACCAAGTTGACTGTGAGCAGCACCATAGCAAAACAAGACATTTGAACGTTCAAATTTAAGAGAGCTTTCCTCTATGAAAAAAAAATTAACATCAAGTAAGAACTTACTTTTGTTAGATTTTCCAGAAATATCGCTCCACTTAAAATCAATTCGTGAAGCAATATTCACAGTTAGACGTCCTTCTAACTGATACATTGCATCATGATACCTACAAAAATAATTCCAGAAACTAAGTGAAATAGTTAACATCAGCGTTACTATAGGATAAATAGACGCAAACAAATTGAAGTTTATACGAATATTCGTCAATATTAGAACGAATAGTTCGACAAAAATTGGGCGCCGAGTACAGAGAAGTCACTGTAGGTGAAAATTATATTTGAAATTATCTAAGCGATTGAAATTTAAATAATTCCAACGTTTCATCCAGCAAACTTGTCTGGACTTCTTCAGAGTAATAATCAAAATCATCAAAAAAATATATAGCGCTTCAACAATCAGATCAGATTAAATCTATACTGTGTTAACCCAATCATATTTGGATGTTGACTTTTGTAAATAGAATAGCATGAGTCAGTTAAATGCGAATCATGTAAAAAGTTCACGATCTGAAAATACATGACTGAACGAATTGTGTATGCGTATGTATGTGTAAGATTGAGATATTAATAGCTGATACTAGGTGTCCATGTGTTTTTGTATGAAGGAAAAAATAAAAGTGCAAGTTGAAGGTTGAAAAATTGTTACTGCATCATTGATGTGCATGTAACATGAGAATCATCAAATACACATTTGTATTGTTAAAATAACCAACATTAATTTCAGTCAGAATAACGACGTATGTGAAATAAACAGGTTGGATAAAGAATGGGTCCAAATACTTGTTAACGAATATTTGCGACGTAGTTGCTAGTTGAATACCATTCTCTCGGTTCAGGCTATTCATGTTCGCCCATATATACAGCGCTTCTGCTGTCAATTTTTATTTGTGAGTGTTAAAACCTTTCTGAAGTATTTTGGTCCCTTCAAAAATAATCGTATGTCCCGTTTCCAACGCAAGTAACACGATCTCCAATATCTTCTCAAGTTTCTTTAGGTCTATCGAGAATTTGGGAACATTTTTCAAACATTTTTTGTGTACTTTTAACCTCACACTCAATTGTCCGGAAGTTTCTCCAACATAAGGTGTATTACAATCATGAGAATTCATCTCGTAGACGACATTCTGTTGTTCTTCCTTTGAAAACCTATCCTTAACTTTCACTAATGTTGATCTTATGGCGTCACTAGCCCGAAAATACACTCCGATATTATGTTTGTTTAGAATCCTCTTGATTTCTTTCAATGTTTCCCTACGGTAAGGGATGACCATGGTGGTCTTCTATCCTTTCAGTACACTCCAATTTACTTTTTCTTTCATTCCTAATAATCTTTAAAATCTCTTCGGGGTAATTGTTATCCCTAAACACAGGCGAAACTCTATTCAATTCAACCTGTTGGTCTTCCTTATCCGTAACGAGATTAATACTTCTGTTAACTAAATTTTTTACAACTGTGACTTCCGTACAAAACGCATGAGCCGAACCGAAATCTAAGTATCTTTCAGAATGTGTTGATTTCCTGAATACATTTTCAACTTATTATTATTTCTTCGTTCAACCAAACAATCGAAACGCTAGTTTGTGGTCACTGCATTTTATTTCCTTTGTTAAATTACTGCTCTCCGTAATGGTGTTTATATTTTCAAACAAACCTTCCGAACCATTCCGTTTAATGATAATAAAAATGCCATCTACATACCATAGCCAGGCTTTTGGTGGACATAAACATCTTGTGATTGCACTGGTTTCTAGAGAATGCATGAATAAATTCACTACAATCGGGAAAACTGGTGAACACATTGTTATACCTTCTTTCTGTCTGTAAAGGTCTCCCCAAAATGTGAATAAGGTAGATCATAAACATAATTTCAAGCACTTAGTAACTTCGGATGTATCTAATGGGCATCGTAAGTTCAAATCTGAGTCGGATTCTAGACAGTCACACATAACATCTAATGCTCCATTGGTAGGTACATTAATAAATAAGGAAGATACGTCAAAACACGGGGTTCATAGAAGTACTTAATTCAATGGTGGTAATATATAAAAGAAAGATTGCATATTTGGATATAGTACAGGAACAAATAATTAGTTCGTAGAAAGAAAGGTATGAAACGATTCTAATCTCACGGTTTAGGAGTAGACAAATAGTGTACACACCTACACCATTGTGATCGATTCTGAGCCATGTCACCCAGAGTCTCCAACCAATTGGCTACGATAGTCACGCGGACCCCAACCAAGTAGTCTGCATCTACCAACATGGCTAAGACTAAAAGTTAGTGACTTCACGAACCGATGTCAAATTTTGGTTTGGCCGCCCCTAGCTTTCTTCCAACCATCCCCAACACTAGTCAGCATTGAGTATCGTGGTAGTCAGTGTACGTAACACGTAGCCCAAACATCTCAGTCGATGGAGATTCACAACCCCATCAAGTGATTCACTAATATTCCGTAACAGCCTGCGTCTAACCTCACTCCCAGCAGATGGGATAAATATTTCTAGGGCACCTGTGGTCAAATACTAGTAGCTTACGAGTATCCCACCACTGATCACCTCGTCATATGGTTTAGGTATACTAGGTAAGTATTTCGCTAGATTGTATGTCCGTGAATTTCTAAAATCAACCAATCAGTCGAAATACCCCAAACAACAAGATTTAATTACTAATTTTTGGTCCCTGTTCTTTTTACACAATTTATTTCCGCTATAATAATGTGGTAACATTGACAAATACACATTTGCGATGTGTACGAGTACGGATTTAGATCATATTTAGAAAATGTAATTCACCTACAACACATCACTACATGCCTTTTCCGAATAGTTTGCTGGACACAAAGCAGTGACAAAAGTAGTTCTACATGGTACATGTTGACCAGATTACTCTGATTAGCGAAAATGAACACATCTAGGTGAAGAACACAACTAAATGATCAGTTGGATTGTTTCTCGTTAGGTTTTTAAACACCTATAATGAACTTTATGAGGACAACTGTTACCATAGTATTTTGCTTCCTTTGAATAAGAGCAATCTATATAAGAACTTTCAACCCCAAAAATTACAAAAAAGCGTCTTACTAATGGGATCATGAACCATAAGTTTTAGAATTCCTAACCAAATATCCCCGGACAATAAGAAAAAGTTTAGGATTTCACATCTACCTACTGATTATATCAGTCACACTAGAAAGATGCCAAGTATTATAATGTAGCAAACATTAAATCTCAAAGACCAGTAGTCAAAGTTAAACTTTAAAAGGCATTACGAAATATCCATAGAAAACGGATAGGCAGTTGGGGGAGAAACATGCCGACCTCTGGAAGCTGGGATAGAAAATTAGTGCCTATGTAACCACAAGACAATAGCGAACGGTATGATGGAGATTAAACACTTAAGACCGTTCAAAAGACCTATTTTATACGATAAAACAGTATGAATTAAAACTGTAACATCAAATAGAGTTATAAGTACCATTCAACTTACGCTGCGATTGCTTCGACTGTCGGGTTGTAGTTATCTCCTTTGACACATGCGACAGTTCGCATTGACGATAACTCACCGAGTGAATCAAGGCACGCATTTGCGGTTGGGGCACCATATTGCAGGGCGATCAACTGTTGAAAATTACTGGATAAATCAACAGCAGCCGACTTCTTTAAAGGAATACTCAAGAAATTCATAACCCGCCCGGTTCGAAATTCAGACGAATAGCCCGCAAACCCAAGGTCAAATACATAAGACGTTGTATTACAGAAATAGCAAGAAGAAATTCTACATGAGACTAGATTTGTGACATCAAAATGGGTGTTTTCTTGCAATGCTCAGTTGAATTTTTGTATAGTAAGAGAAAGTTATAAATTTTAAGTCATAGTTGCTTCGTTGATTCAAAGTGGTTCAAATGGTTATGGACAAAATAAAAGAAGCTTTCGCTCAACGGGCTTCTGTGTCTAGTAGCAGGGGATCAACAAAACCTCCAGACAGGAACCTAGGTATGTTAACAAAAAAGAGGGGAAAGAACTTGGTAAATCATAGTATGATACCATCCTTTATCCTTAAGAATAGATCAAGTTGCCTGTCAAAGGACTCCTGGGAAGTCGCTTGGACTAGCTCAGCGTTTGACAACTCTTAAGGGATAGAAGTTGTGTATACAGTCCGTTCTGCTATGTTGTTTTTCCAATTTCTGGGCGTTACCCCTTAAGTTAGTGTTGGAACTAAGCTTAAGTACGTGTTTAAGAGGATGTCCAGAAGTGTTAATGATACTGTAAGTCATTAGAAGGTCACTTCTAAGACGCCTGTACTCTGACAGATAAAGGTTAAGTAACTGGAGGCGCTGTTCATAAGGTTCAAACTTGAGTCCTCGAGCCTATTTCGTGGCTCGCCGTTCGATACGCTCCAGAGTGTCCTTATCCTTGTGGATTGACGGAGGAAATACTGTGTTTCCGAACTCTAAATGGGGACGGATAAAACTATAAAAGATTATATGGAAAATCCTTCCGTCAAACTAACCAAAAATGCGCTTCACTGTTGCCAGTGCAAGATTTGCTCGGGAGGCATTTTTGTCACAGTTAGCGTAAGACTTTAAATCGTAGGGCATCAGGACTCCTAAATCTCTTCCGACTCGATATACTACTAGAGAAGAGTTTCCTAAGTTGTAACTGTAGTCTGCGACATGTCCCAGATGGACCACTCTACACTTTGAAGTGTTAAAGGTAAGTCCGTGATCGTCTGCCCAACTTTGAAGTCCAGTCAGATCCGCCTGAAGTGCCTGTATACCGTCTTGGTTGCGTATCTCTCACCAAAGTTTCACGTCATCGGCAAAAAGTAATAAGTCTGACGTTACCTGTTGAGGAAAATCATTTCTGTAGATGAAGAAGAGAAAAGATCCTAGTACTGAGCCCTGAGGGACCCTGCTAGGACATTCCGCAGCCTGAGATAAAGTGAAGTTAACCCTGACCTTAAAATGTCGATTTTTCAGGTATGAAGTGAGCCAATCGATTAGAGGTGGTCTGATACCTGTTCGTTTGAGCTTATTGATAAGACATGTATGGTTAACCTTATCAAAAGCTTTTGAGAAATCTAGGTGGATGATATCAACCTTCCCCTCGTGATCAAGGATACCTGTCCATCTGTCCACCGCAGTCAGCAGGTTGATTGTACAAGAGTAACCCTTCCTGAAACCATGCTGTCGGGGTGAGAAGAAATTTGAGGACACTAACTAGTCAAACAAACCATCGCATACCAGGGACTCCATGATTTTTGAAGGTATTGAGAGAAGAGCCACCGGTCGGTCACTTGGAGGTTCGCTGCATCGACCTCCTTTGAAAATCCGTGTGATGTGAGCCAGTTTTCAATTTTCCGGTAGTTTGCCTCGGCCTAACGAGTGTGAGAACACCACGCTAAGCGGCGTTGCCAGGATTGAAGCTGCTTCCTTCAGTATAGCAGAATGGCCAGGAGAAATATCTTTTTTTAGGTGCTGCAGTTTCCGGAACACCAAGTAAGCACTCAGGTTCACTACGGAGAGTCCTGTGCAGTTACAGATGGAGCTGTCATCGGTATAGTTGATGTGCGTCGGTTGTAGTGTCCAAGAGTATGGTTCAGCCAAAAGGTTAGCGGCGTCGCTGTCGTTATTGTTCAGGCCATTAGGACCTAGCATTTGGGAAACTCAAGTTTTGGCTTGACGGAGAGAGACTGCATAACGGAATAAGCTTTTCGGATTAGAGACAAATTTATCAATAAGCTTTATCTGGTACTGTAGCCTATCCTCTCTTGTAGTCTTCGTGCATATGTTCCTTTTATGTTTGTATTGCCTGTATGCGCCGTTGTTATCAGTTCGTTTGTATTCTGCCCAACAGTGCCTTTCGCGACTTAACAAACGAAGAGTGCGGTTCTTGATAATTGTATGTTGCTTGTAGATTCTGGAGACCATTTAAAGAACGGAACTCTTTGTAGCACATATGAGCGTGTGCAGTAAGGAATCCCATTGAGCATTCACATCGATTTGAGGGTGAACATACCAATCCACCTGTTGTAGATAGTCCTGCAATGCTGACACATTCAACCGTTTGAAATTCCAGCGCAAGTTTTTGGTGGGGTATCTTAGCTCAGTTTTTCTGACGAAACTGAAGGCTACAACTGCGTGATCGCTTTTCCCAGGGGAGCCAGGATTGAGAGGTTGCCAACTAGGAATTCTTCGTTTGTAAATCCACAGTCTAAGCGCGATGGTGTCTGATTGTTTCTTCAACGAGTTGCCGACCTCACACTTTCGTATAATCACAAGTCATCGATGTGGTTGAAGAACCGAACTTCAGTTTAGTTTTCACCTCCATTACACGTATGTTCCGCGAAGTTGACTCTAGGGAGATTGAAGTCTCCTAGAATCAGGATATGAGTGAAACCGAGACGAGTAGAGCAGAATAGTCCTTCCAGCATAAGACTGTCATATTCGATGTCGGCAATGGGATTCCTATATATGACTCCGACTAAACACCTCGAAGTACTAGACAATCTTACAGAGCACCATATGGATTCCTCAAGTTTGTTAAACTCAAGGTTATGAACTTGGTGTATCTCCAAGCAAGATCGTATGTAAACAGCTATTCCACCCCCACCTCCTGATTTTTTGTCGTCGCGAAACAAGGGCATCCCAGGTACTACTAGCTCCTGTCCTGAGAACTGAGAAGATATCCAAGTTTCAGATATTCATATCAGTTAAGCATTATTAGAATTGCTGAGTTCACGGAACCCATCGGTTTTATTCGGCAAACTCGCGGCATTCATGTATAAGCAGTTTATGCTTTCGATTTGAAACGCGTGAGCTTCTCCTTCTTGTTTGTCTGAATAAGCCTTATGCGAATGGATATGTAGCCTACCTATAGAAGGTTTTCCAAGTTAGTAGTTCCTGTCCTTTCCATGTGTTTTTGTGACCAATACAGTCCACAAGTGGAATGGTCAGCTCCAACTGGCCTTTGTGCATGATCCCGTCGTCATGTGGTCTATTTGGATAGGGTGAATTTATCCAACGCAACCATGTAAACGTAATATATCTCCCGGTGTAATAACGATCATCTGTGCGTTCAAGTAACCACAGATTTTGTCATTTCACAATGTGTTTTTAATTAAACAACTAGATTAGGTTATTTTTGCTCTGTTTTTAATTTTTATTCGACACGTCTGACTGCGTTACACTGTACGTTGATTGCACTCTGGAATGATATCTCAAGTCATAGTTAGTTTAATCACATAGTTTATTGTTTCCAGATAGACCATCAGTGCATGATGTTACTGCCTGTTGTCTTCAGTCTGAAAGAAATATATATCGGTAACAGGAGAGCTAAATGTCTGAGCTTTTATTTGCCTGCAGAATAGCAGTATACAGTCTTAGATGAGTGCTCTGTGTATCAATTAAATGCAGCTGGCTGTGGACAAATGTTAAGAATCTTTTTGACAACTGGGACTTTTATTTTATCAGCCACTAACGCTGTTTGTATGTCTTCCTGTTAAACTAGACGCAGATGCATGGGAATACTTAAATGAGAGCAAAATAATAAAAGGATTGCGATACGGTAACAAGTCCATGTTATGCTTTGCACAAATAATAGTAGCTGACCTGATCTAATATTCATGAACTTAAGGTAAATCACAAATGCATAAATCCTTTGCTAAAAACATGTAATTTAGTTATTTATCTATTCCACATTTCTGACTAAGTTCATCACTATTTTCTCATTTAGAATGCAACAGGGGTGAGCATTCACAGATACTAAAAACTGATTCGCCCTTAGAATTATGGCCCTATGGAACTGATTACGGGAGACCCAACGAATAGCAGATTATAAAAAGGATGCTGGACGTCCAGTTTAGTCTCACAACCACTTCCAGTATTTTTTTGACTTCTTTTACTCTTTCGTTTGGAAAAAAACAACAAAAACTGCAGCTTAACATTACCAATTCAACTTTTAAACAGGAACATCATTTAAACCTTTGTTTGATATCCGATTTTTAATGAAAGTTCTTGAATAAATTTTTGAATCTAATGCTATTTTGTCTTATCTGCTAAATCGTTGCAAGAAACGTGTGATATACGAGTCTCTCAGCATCTAGTTCATATGTAGTAAATTTAAGTGATTTGGTACATATCTTCGTCATTTTCTTGGGGAACCTACAGACTCGGGTCCTCTCATAACTTATTCTAACCACCATGAGTTGTCACGGCAGCTGATGGATGGACACGCGTTACACATCCTAACCGTACCTGCGTCTAATTTTATAGCTCCTTATTCAAATGCTATATGGTAAGCAAGCAATGCCCCTACCCTCACTAATGGAACACTAGAAACTCAAAAGCACCCTGTATGGCGCCTTACATTCGTCTACGCACTCGCTTAGCTCTTTAGTGAGAATATTACTACAGTCCTGCTAAAAATCCCATGAACCCCCTACCTTCATCAAAACAAATAAGTTTGTATTCGCAGTATATATAAATTTTATTTTTCTGAAGTAAGATACAACAGTTAGAATTGGAGTAAAATGGCAGTATACAGCAGATGCACGTGGTACATGTCTTCATCGGTTAACTGAAATAGAAAATACAGATATCAGCTTAACAGGCTTATTTAGGAAGACTATTGTCTACTTTGAACTTAGTGCGTGAGAAAGTTATACAGGAACTACGAATAATGTAGGAATCTAGTCTCTCAGGGCGTATGATGCACTCAAACTGGAAGACAGTTGTCCAAAAATAATTCGAATATGAAGGTGAAAACTTGCAGGTACTTTTCATCGTAAGGGTGAACATATTAGGTACCGGTTGACAACATACCGTAAAAAAACACAAATTTGCGAGTGGTGAAATATGATGTATAAAATAGTGA